GGGCGGGCGGGGCGCTCCGCCCGAGACCTCCTCGCCCTGGCATGATAAAACGACGCGAAGACAGGGACGACATCGGATCGGGATAACTCGAAATCTCTGAGAACCGGCGGGTTTGGAGGGTGTATTGGGCGCCGCGGCCGCTCCAGAGCGTTCCGGAACGCTCTGAGAGCGCTCCGGAACGTTCTGGAGCGATTTATCCCGATTCTAGCCCTGTTTTACATGACCCCGGAGCCCGAGGCGGCAACAGCTTCACGAAGGGAGGGCGGGCCGGTTTCGAAACGTGGCTCTCGCCTCCGCGCCGAGCACACTCGTCGTTTGAAGTCCGCATCCGCTCGCGGACGGAGGGCGGGCCGTTTGCAGCATGTGGCTCTCGCCCCAGCGCCGCGCACATTCGTTCTGAAGGCTTGCAGCAGCTTCACGAGGGGAGGGCGGGCCATTTTCGAGACGTGGCTCTCGCCTCCGCGCCGCGCAGATTCGGGGTCGGGGCTCTCCACAGCTTCGCGGGTGGAGTGCGGCTCCGACTCAGAAGGCCGTCCGGGCCCTGGCTTCGCGTTCAGGGACTCGCAGGGTTGCAATGCCAGGGATGGCGTGCTGGCACGATCTCGGAGATTCACGACGCAACGGTCACGTTGATTCGCGGCGCTGAAGTCCCAGAAATGGTGTTATGGCACGATGTGGGATTATCAAGACGCAGCAGTCACGTTGAGTTGCAGAGTTGCAGTGCTGAAGTCCCAGGAACGTGGCGGTTGCACGATTGGGGAATATCAGACGGCTGTCTTCCAGAGAACCACTTCCCGCAGATCCATGAAGACGGACCCATGAAGAGGGAACTTGGAACGATGTCTGCTGGTCGACGGCATTGATGCGTCTTGGGTTCACAGTGGTCCTCTTTGCCCTCGTCCTCCTCCTCCTCCTCCTCCTCCTCCTCCTCCTCCTCCTCCTCCTCCTCCTCCTCCTCCTCGCCCCCCACATCCACCTCGCACGGCTGGGCGCCCATGGGTGTGCAGAAGCGATCCCGACGCGGCAACGCACTCCGCGGACCTCTCCCGGGGCGCGCTCTGACCAGCCATCCGAGGATACCCCGGCCGTGGCGACGCGGCCCCTCCCGGTCGCAGCGGCGTGGGCACGGAGAGGGCACTGGATAAGGATACCACTGGACAAGGAATCCTCCAAGGAATCCAGGGATAAGGATAAGGGATACCATTGGATAAGGGTACCATTGGAAAAAGAATCCAGGGACTGGAAGCCGGTGGAACTCCAATCGTGGACTGGCCATGGATAGCACCGCCGCCCTCATCGGACAAGGATCCCTCCAAGGTCTGGAGGCCGCCTGGACACATTCCTCAACCAACGCCCCCACCGTACGGCAAGTTCGTGTCGTGCCGACTTCGGCGTTGGTTCCGGACACTGCTGGGATCGTTCCACCTTGAACGATCGGCCGCTTCAGAAACGTCCGATCGTTCAACACTGAGCTATTCTGGGCGGCCAACTGCGTTCAACGTTGAACGCTGGCGGCGGGGTCGCCGCTGGTCGACGCGACGCGAACCCACCGTGCACCACTGAGAGGGCCCCCTGTATCGACGCTCTATCAAGAGAGCTGTCGACACCGGCGGGGACCCCCCGGGGGTGCAAATGGTAGAATCCTACCCCCGCCGACCGTCGGTTCTCCTGGATCAAATGGGAGGCGGGAGTAGGGTTCTCGAGGAAGAACAAGCCACACAAACATCGACTTCTGGCACTCCGCGCGGATTTTTCTTGGATTCGCGCTGGCCCACCCCTCCCTGGCGCGCGGAGCGCGCAGGAGGCGGCGCTGGAGGCGCCGCCCTGGGGCCCAGGCGCGGATCCAAGAAATCCGCGCGGAGCGCCAAACGTTTATGTCTACACCCTGCGAAATGTTTAAGAAATCATGGGTTAAGAAATTCATAGTCTCAGAACTTGCATTAAAAAAACAAAATTTCTACTAAAAAATTAGGTCTTCCATTGAAACAATGAGAACAATCAAGACTCTGGCCGAAACCTCACGTTTTCTTAGAAGCATCGCTTAGGGCCTGCGCGGTTTTCCCTCCTGCGAGGTTCGGACTTCGCCACGCGCTCCGCGGAATCCCCAGCCCGGCACCCGCGCGCGGCGCGACGCGGCGGCGGGGCGGCGGGCGGCCTCGCCGTTGCTGTGGAAGTACAGCAGCAGGTACCGCGCCGTGGGCTGCTGCAGCAGCACGGCTGGCAGGGCGTCCCCCGCCCGGCAGGACCCGTAGTCCAGGTCCTGCGGGACCCCTCCCCGCGCAGGGCCCCGAGAGCCGACGCTCCAAAAACAAGAAGAGGGAAGCAGGCGGTGTCTGGCAGTGTTCGGCCTCCGGGGGCCCTTCGGCGGGCCTCGGGAGCGTCAAAATTAAGACTCAGGACGGGGAAGTGGTCCGGACCTCCGGGGTCCACGCACCAAAAGAGTTGGAGCAGCCGATGTCTGGGGAGGCAATTCATCCTCATCCCACCCCCAACCCGCCGACCCTGTCGGCGTGTGTGAGGGGCTTGTCTGTTCGAGTCGTCGTCTCCGTCAGTAGTCGTCTCCATCGTTCTCTTTCCCTGCTCCCTCCTCCTCGAGCCTGTCAGCGAGAGAAAATGCAAGCAGTGTCGCAGTCGAGTCGAAGGGAAGCCTCTTCCCTTTGATCCCTCCCCTTTCGGGTGGGAGGGGTCCTGGGAGGGTCCCCAGCCGGGTCCGGGGGGAGGGTAAGATACGCATCCCAGCCCCTAAAAGTGCCAGGGCCTCAGAAAATACCAAGACAGGCCAAAGAGTGCACCAAGAGGACCCCGAGACGGTCCAAGAAAGCCCCAAATCGGCAAACAGTCAGTCCAAAACGCCTCCACGCCCTCCAGACTGCCCAGGAGGCCGCCAATACGTCCCAAGAAGCATCCAAGAGCATTCCCGAGAAGTGAGGCCCAAGAGACCTCCTAGACCCACACAGCCCACGAGCACCTCAAGACACCCCACAACGCCTCCAAGATGGCCCCAGAGGCCTCCAAGACGGCTCCAAGAGCGTGCCAAGACGGGCCAAAAAGGCGCCAAGAGGCCCACCAGAGGTCCCCGGGACGCCCGAAGGAGTTCCAAGAGCTCCCAAGAGGCTCCCGAGAGCCCCAAGAGTTCCTCCCCAGAGGCCCCCGAGAGCCTTCCGACGAGACCCCAAGAAGCATCCGTCTGGCCCACGTCAGCGTCGTCGTCGTCGCCGCCGCCGCCGTTGCCGTTCGTTCGTCGTCGTCCCCCTTCAGGGTCGACAGCGCCAGCCGCAAGTCCTTCGCAACATGGTAGGAGCCTTTCTCCCTGGAGGCACGTCGAACCTGAACCAAACAGAGGGGCAACCATTGTGTACAGTGAGGGTCTTGACCTAAGGAACCATAAATAAGGAACGAAGCCCCTCCTTTTCCAAGTAAGCCCATGAAGCCAGAAGGAACGGCCGAGCCCCTTTCTAACGGCGTTCCGCTACGATTTGCTCTTGCAATTCGATCCCCGCCCTCTCCGCCAAACCACCAACGCGCAATTACGTCGAGCAAGCGCAACCGAGCCCCCCCGTGGAGCCCCGTTCCTTAGACCGTCCGCCCCGACCGAAAAAACGAACCCGCGCGTCCAAAATCGTAAGGAACAACGGGGGGGCTCGCCGCCAAAAAGGTAGCGGAACGCATGCAAACCTAAGGAACGACCGAGCCCCTTTTGAAAAATAAGTGTTCCTTACTCAAGGCATTCACTGCACACCCTGCTGCCTGGCACAACTGCCTGACAGCTGTTTGCGGCCTCTGGCGCCTCTGTTCCCAAGCTCGGCCTTCAGGGGGCAGCTCCCAGGCACCCGGGGCCCTCGAGGGACGGCCGCGGACGAGAAGAGCAGTCCTGGGGATATGGGGTCGAGAGCTTCTGGGGGTCAGCGTCGTGACTGCTGCTACTCCCTGTGCTATTATCCCCTCTGTTACCCCCCCTCGTCAGCCGCCTGGCCACCCGCGTCATCCTCGTCCTTTTGGGCCTCCTCCTCCCTTCTCCCTTCTCGATTGTTTGTTTCCTCCTGGCTGTCCTCTTCTCCTCCTCCTCCTCCTCCTCCTCCTCCTCCTCCTCCTCGTTGTGTTCATCATATTATTCATCCTCATGACTTAGGATGGTGTTCCTCGTCGTCTCCGTCGTCATACGCCTCCCCTCCTCCCCCATCCCTCCCCCCTAGTCATTTCAATAATGCTCCAATCGAACTGCAAACAAACACATTGATCTCCTCCTCTCTCTTCTTCGACCCTGCTCACTACCCGATGTTTCGCACATCCTTCACCCCTTAATATCAACCTGCTCATCATCCACCCCCTTGCACTTTCCGTGTCTCCTTCCTCCCATCTCATCCTCCATGTTCTCCTGCTTCAAGCAAATATTCCACCGGACGCGGTTTCTCCAACTCCTGTTCCTCATCCTCATCATCCACCTCCTCATCCTCATTCTCATCATCCTCATCATCACCAGCAGCATCAGCATCAGCAGCATCATCACCTTCACCTCATCATCATCATCATCAGCAGCAGCATCCTCCTCCTCCGCTCCCTGCGGGATGGCTTCGACGAGCGGTCGCCAGTCCACATCCTGGTCGACGCTTCTCTCGGGGCCCGGCCGCAGCAGGGTTGGTGGAGCTTCGGCGTCGTCAACTCATACAGCGGCAGTGACACCTGTGGCGGCTCCCGGCAAGGACTGGGGCCATGCAAGCAGGGTCACAGTGGGCAGCGAGGAGCGCATGATGGTGTGCGTGAGGAGCGAGGCAGCCCAACACGGCTGGCGGCGGCAGACAACGGGACTGGCTGCCTCAGACCACCAGGAGCATCTGAAGGTGCAGGAGTGCGCGACGCGCTCACGGACTCCACCTCGAAGATCGAAAGTAGAGGGTCACTGGACGCCGACTCTCTTCCCCAGGGGCTTTACAGGACAGACCCCGGAGGAGACGCTCAGCACTGCTACATCGACGGCCCCATCGGCAACGAATGCGACACTCTCAAAGCAGCCCCCGCCGCCGCCACCGCCAACGGGGAGCTCTCTGGGGGCTTCGGCAGCAACGGCAGCGGCAGCATCAAGAGCGTCGGCGACTCAGGGGACCTACGATATCATGAAGGACTTCAAGAAGGACTTCAAGAAGGACTTCCCACACATTCCAAGAAGTGATCGCCGAAGGGAATCAGCAAAAATGGAGCTGCAATCAGCGCCGATTCAGGAACTTCGGGTTCCGCGCGATGTGCACGAGGTGCAACGCGAATGCGCATCCCACCATGCTGCGGCAGCAGACCCTCCAGTCCCTGAAGCAGATCAGGCTGCAGGACGACCGCATCGAGATCAAGCAGTTCGAGGAGTCGGAGATTGATGGGCTTGTTTTCTACCACCACCACCACCACCACCATAAGTTGGAGGGGGAGTGGGTCCTCCTCCTCCTCCTCCTCTTCCACCTCTTCCTCCTCCTCCTCTTCCACCTCTTCGTCCTCCTCCTCCTGCTTCTCATCCTCCTCATCCTCCAACTTCACTATGGTGGTGGTGGTGGAAAACAGGCCCATCAGAGATGGCCCACGGTGTGGAGATGGGGCGGATGGCCCTCGCCGAGAAGCAGAAGGTGGACGCCCCGGAGGCTACACAGCACGGGAGGCTCTGCGGCGCCGGAGCCGACGGACGCGAACGATCCCACGGTGGCTCGCAGCAGCGGGTGGAGGAGATGGACGACCCGACCGTCCCCCACCCGTGCAACGTGGTCCAGTGTTTTGCAGATCCCAACGTGTCGCAACGCAGCGGCGCCAAGCGTCAGACGAAGAAGAAGAAGAAGAAGGAGAAGAAGAAGAAGAAGGAGGAGACCAAAACGCACCGTGAGCAGGACCGAGGGGAGGAAGTCCCACGAGGTTGTCGGTTGGATTGGCCGGGCATCGGCACGTGGCACGGCTTCCTGGGGCGGAGCCGCCCTCGGGCTGGAGCCTAGCATCGGCGACGCGCTCTTCCTGCACAAGGCGGTGCTCGACTCCGATTCGGCGTGCAGCGTGTTGCAAGGCCCCCCACACACACAAACAGACACACACACAGAAGTACACACGCACACACACGCACACACACGCACCCACACACACACACACACGCACACACACACGCACACACACACGCGCGCGCGCACACACACACACGCGCGCGCACACACACATGCGCACGCACACACTTACACGCACACACACAAACACACACACACACACACACACACACGCTGAAGGAGCAAACAACCTCGACCAGCTGGAGGACGAGTGAGGGGTGCGTTGTTTCGCAAACAAAAAATGCCACTTGGGGGCGCTGTCGTGGCCGCCTTGGCCCCACCTTGCCCGCCTTGCTCGGCGTCGAAGCGCGAGTCGTGCCTGAGGCTGCTCCGCCGTGCGGCGCGCCCGCCCTCGCCGCCGAGGTCAAGCTCGGTCGGAAGCTCCGGGCGCCGGCTGCCGATGGGAGGCCCCTCTCGCCAGTGCTCCAACGAAGGATTGCAAGGGTTTGTTTTGCAATCCTTCGTTTTTTTTGCAATCCTTCGAAGAGTTGTTTTTGCAATCCTGGGTTTCTTTGCAATCCTTCGTACCACGCTGCATCTCGGCCCATTGGGGCGTTTCTTGACGAGCTTGTCTTCCACCACCACCACCACTGTAAGTTGGAGGAGAAGGAGGAGGAGGAGGAGGAGGAGGACCCCCCCCCTCCAACTTATAGTGGTGGTGGTGGTGGAAAGCACGCCCATCATTTCTGCCAGGCCCAGCCGGGTTCTTCACTCTTTCCTGCGGCCAGGCCAGTGGGGGGCTCGGCCGCAGCTGCCTCGGCATTGGCCGGGTCAGCGCCGCCTGCGCAAGAGGGGCGGAAGGATAACCACACGCATCATCAGAGCCCTCAGAGCCCTCCTTTTCCTCGTCCTCCTCCTCCTCATTGTCGTCCTCGTCTTCGTCGCCATACTCATCATCACCATCGTCAGCATAGTCACCATCATCACAACTACCATCATCACCATCATCGTTTGTTGATTATCCCCCCCTCCGCTCTATCCCCCCTTCCTCCTCCCTCCTCCTCAACCCTCGTCGGCGTCCAACGCCTCCCTTTCTTCCCCATCCTCCCCCCTCCTCCTCCTCATCCTCCTCCTCCGCCTCCCGATTCCCGACCTCCTTCGAAGACGGCGACTGACGGACCGCCCGACCGACCAAGACGACGACGACGACGACGACGACGACGACGACGACGACGACGACGACGACGACGACGAC